GGATTCCTCTCAGTTTACAACTTGTTATTAACTTCAGTAAGTACAGAAATAGAGCATTTGAAAACTTAAATAGCAATTTGATATTGGCACAACATCTAAGCATATCATTTTTCTAGTGATTTATTTTTACTGCATTTTACAAAGTACAGGTTTGGACAGGGTAGAGGTTGGAGTGGGGCACTTCCCACAAATAGTTTGCAAAGCACTACTCTAGATCCTCTTTTTTTCAGTCAGAAATTCCAAACTCCTGTTTCCATGTGCTCATAGTAGAGACGGGGGAAAAGGACATGGAGAACTGTAAACTATTACTTTGTGATGACTGGTGAATGAAGGTGCTGATTATTTGAGATTAGTTGAGTCTTTTTTTTTTTTAAGATTTTATTTATTTATTTGAGAGAGAGAGCACAAGCAGAGGGAGTGGCAGGCTCCCCGCCGAGCAAGGAGCCAGATTCGGGACTCCATCCCAGGACCCTGAGGTCATGACCTGAGCTGAAGGCGGATGCTTAACCAACTGAGCCCCCAGGTGCCCCGAGATTAGTTGTGTCTTTACTTAGAATTCCCTTAAACCATTTTCCTGGTTTTCTCTAACCAATTTTAGTGTGCACAATTTCCTGGGATACCTGTTAACAATGCAGATGCCTGTGCAGGATCCCCCAAAGTTTTGATTCTACCTGTCTGAGGCCTAAGAATCTACATTCTAAACAAACACTCCCGCTGATTCTGGTGAATATTGTTCCTGGGTAGGTGATTTAAATCAGGATACTTGAGAGTAAAAGAAGATGCTATTAAATCACAGTAGGACAAGATAAATAATCTGAGAATATCCTAATAGGTGTACTTGGACATATGATCACTGTACGTGGGGCATATTTTTTAAAAATAGAGGTTTAAAAATAGAGGTTTAAAGTTCAATTGGAAAGTTCCTGCTGTTTCTTTTTGTGACCAGACTTAGCTAGATTTCCTTTTGTCTTCTCAGGATGGTGGCTGCTGTTTCCACTCTTATGAATCAACCTCAACTATAGTGTGTATACAACTTTCTAATAAAGGAAGATGGAATTCAGGGCTTCTAAACGTAGCTAGGAGTAACTTGAGGGGAGTTAGGACCCACTCCTTTAAAGTTGAAGATTCTTTTCTTCTGATCTGAAGGAAACTGATTTTATTTGCCCTTAGCTAAAAACTTAGGACTCTTCTGGAACTTCCTGCTATGCATGTTGTCTCAAGCCAATCTTAATTCCTTTTAGTGTTCCTGGCTCAGCTGTGTCCCATTTCACTTAGCTGGGCATAATCCCCTTGATCCATTTCAACCTTGCTTTTGTTTTCATTTAAGTAACTTGTTTATTATTTGTTTTAAGTAAATTGCAACTGAAGAATTTGAGAGAAAGAAAAAATACCTTTCTAAATTTCTTTCTCAAGAGTTCTTTAGGTTGTTGTCACCTCTCCTTACATAACTTATATGGTATATAGAAAAAATGGTTTTCCTATTTTGTAAACTGTTACCTGATTACAACTCAGTATTGCAGGAAAATTATTATTATTTTTTTTAAAGATTTTATTTATTTATTTGACAGAGAGAGACACAGTGAGAGAGGGAACACAAGCAGAGGGGGTGGGAGAGGGAGAGGCAGGCTTCCCGCAGAGCAGGGAGCCTGATGCAGGGCTCGATCCCAGGACCCCGGGATCATGACCTGAGCCGAAGGCAGACACTTAACGCCTGAGCCACCCAGGCGCCCCAGGAAAATTATTTTTGTTAGTAGTAATAATATTGCTGCTAGAAATCAAATATCTGTGGATCTCTTGTCTCTGGTACTACCTCTATTATAATACCTTTTTTGTCAGTTCCAACATACTTGATTTTATATTATTTCATTTTGTTTTTAGTTTGTTGGCCAATTTCTTTTATTTACAAAGTGGGGATTAAAAACAAGCAGGCTTTCTATGGGGTTCATTTCAAAATGGGGAAGAGCAGATTGGCTAGCCAGAAATTGAGAGTAAGAGTTTGAAAACCAAAAAGAGGTAAATTAAGTATGAAAAGCGGAATGATTAAATGTGGAACCATCCATTTATTTTTCTTTCTTTTTTTTTTTTTTTTAAAGATTTTATTTATTTATTTGACAGAGAGAGAGACAGCGAGAGCAGGAACACAAGCAGGGGGAGTGGGAGAGGGAGAAACAGGCTTCCTGCGGAGCAAGGAGCCCGATGTGGGACTCGATCCCAGGACCCTGAGATCATGACCTGAGCCGAAGGCAGACGCTTAACGACTGAGCCACCCAGGCGCCCCATTTATTTTTCTGAATCAAGATTTCAGAGGACTTGGGGTTCTCTAAACTCACATGCAAGTAGCTCTTGATTGAACCTCATGTAAATTTCTCTAAAGAAAAATTTTCTAAGACTTATACTCTTAGTTTTGGTAATTTTTCCGCTTTTTAAAAAAAGATTTTATTTATTTGAGAGAGAGAGAGCACTGAGCTAGGAGGAGAGGGAGAAGCAGGCTCCCTGCTGAGCAGGGAGTCCAATGTGGGGATCAATCCCAGGTCCCTGGGATCATGACCTGAGCCCAAGGCAGACGCCCAACTGCCTGAAGCCACCCAGGTGCCCCAATTTTTCCAATTTTTAAAAAAATAAGTATTTCAAACATATTACAACAGTAGAGAGAATAGTATTAGGAACTTTCAAGTGAACATCACTCAGCTTCAACAGTTAGTAACTCACTACTGTTCTTTTTTTTCTTCTGTACCGCTGCTTATTCCCTGTCTCCCCATTATATCGAAGCAAATCCCAAATAGCATATAATTTCATCTGAAAATATTTCAGTAAGACTCTCTAAAGTATAAAGGACTTTTTGTTATTGTTAAAAACCAACTATATTACCATTACATTTTATGAAAATTTAAGTAAATTTGTTTAGGACTTACCTTTCACTCTGTTTTAGAGACTCACCAGATGAATAAATAAAAGATTCATCATAATATCTTATTTTTATTTTATTTTAGAAGTAGATTATTTGATTAAAATAATGTATTGATGTTCCATCTGAAAAACAATTTATCCTTCAAATTGGAATACTTTTGAGAGTGAAAAGGGGCTCTATTAACAATTATGCTAGGAGAGCAGTGGACATCTAGGACTGTCCATGAACTGGGATATATATGGTCCCCTATTTCAAGGTAATATTTGCTGTTTGGATAGCTACTATAATTTTTTTCAACAAGCTTTGAATAACCCAAATGAGTCAAGTTGTAGCTAAGAGCATGGTGAACTTACCATAGGATTTTTAAGTCTAAAATTTTTATAGTGCCTGTAGATTTCAGGTTAGTTCCCTCTCTCTCTCTCTCTCTCTTTTTTGAGGAGAGAGTAAGAGTGAGGGTGCAAGCATATGTGCACAAGCTGGGGGGTTAGGGAAGGGGAGAGGGAGAGGGAGAGAGAGAGACTCCCAAGCAGGCTCCACATCCAGCTCAGAGCCCAACATGGGGCTAGATCTCAGAACCCTGAGATCATGACCTGAGCCGAAATCAAGAGTTGGACGCTTAACCAACTGAGCTACACAGGTGCCCCCCCCTTTAAAGTTTATTTATTTATTTAAATAATCTCAACATGGGGCTTGAACTCACCACCCCAAGATCAAAAGTCGCTGGCTCCTCTGACTGAGACAGCCAGGAGCCCCTCACCATAAAGCTAGAAGTAGAACGACCAGGCATAAATCACAAATTAAAATGAACCCTTCTGGGGCACCTGAGTGGTTCAGTCGTTAAGTGTCTCCCTTCAGCTCAGGTCTTGATCCCAGGGTCCTGGGATTGAGCCCCGCATCGGACTTCCTGCTCAGCGGGAAGCCTGCTTCTCCCTCTCCCACTCCCCCTGCTTGTGTTCCTTCTCTCGCTTTGTCTCTCTCTCTCAAATAAATAAAATCTTAAAAAAAAATAAAATAAATGTATAATTTATAGGCTTGTGGATGTTAGATCATAGATAATCTAAAGTAGACTACATTATAGAGTAAGTAAATGAGATGATGGCCAGTTTTAAAAGGTCAAAAAATTTTTTTCTGTTAAAGTTGGTAGTTCACCATAATATTACATGAACTTTATATCAAGCATAAACTAGTTTTTAGCATTTCCAGATTAGAAAACACAACTAGACCTTCCTTATCTGTTCTCTTCTAGTTTATGCTGTGTTACTGTAGCAAGTACTTCTCAGGAACAGCTCCATTCAGTTAGTAGTGTGCTTGTTATCAGTAATATTTTAAGCAACTGCCTTTTTTTATTTTTAAGATTTTATTTATTTATTTGACAGAGAGAGTGAGAGCACAGGTAGGGGGAGCAGCAGGCAGAGGGAGAGGGAGAAGCAGGCGAGGTGGGGCTCGATCCCAGGACCCTGAGATCATGACCTGAGCCAAAGGCGGACGCTTAACCGACTGAGCCACCCAGGCGCCCCAGAACTACCTTTTAATAATAAAGTATACAACTGTGATTCCCCTGATCAGGAGCCAAAGTCAGACTTCTAAAACACAGTTCTATTATGTCAGTTCCATGGAAAAATAAGTGCCCTTTAGTGTTGTGATTTCTTTCCCTTCATTTTAACCACAGTTTCATTTTTAACACCTTTCCCATAGATAAAAGATTCTCATATCATCATATCATCTAGTCCCTGGTCTTTTAGTTTATTTTCTTTTTTTTTTTAATTTTTTTATTGTTATGTTAATCACCATATATTACATCATTTTAGTTTATTTTCTGAATCAGCTTCAAGTCTTTCATGTTTATATGTAAAACATCATACATACACACATTCACATCTTTTAAATAACTTTGACTTTAACTGTGGCCTTTTTAAAAATTAGAATCTATCATCTATAACATATAGTGTCTTAGATTTCTTACCCACATAGTTCTGGTGCTGTAGATATGGAATCATAGTGATATATTAGGTTTAATTTGTTACGTAAAAGAAATGGGTTCATGGTTCTCTATACGTTTAAGTATTTTAAATTACTTTTTCTCTCCTTCTAGCTGTTCCCTTTCCTCCAACCCAACGGCTTACTTTGAAGGAAGTATTTGAGAATGGGAAACCTAAAATTGATGTTTTGAAAAACCATTTGGTGAAGGAAGGGCGACTGGAAGAGGAAGTAGCCTTAAAGATAATCAATGATGGGGCTGCCATCCTGAGACAAGAGAAGACCATGATAGAAGTAGATGCTCCAATCACAGGTATGAGAAGTAATTGCACAGTGGTGCTTAGATTTGAGCTAATTTGAAAAATGATTACAAATAACCAACTAAGGTATGTGATAATTTTTCTAGGAATTATGAGATAGTCTTAGGGATTATTCAGTATATTTGTTGTTCATCAAAGAAATACAATTTAAAATACCTAATATTTACAGTAGGACTGTTCACTATTGATTGATTGACCACAATTACAGAACATTCCAGTCAAAAGCTAACATGATTTAAGTTAAAAGTTAAACTGTGATCTTATTGGTGTACTACCCTTTCTCTTTAAGACATATTTTTCATCTCACCTTGTGTCCTTTTTTCCCTAGTGTGTGGTGACATTCATGGACAATTCTTTGACTTGATGAAGTTGTTTGAAGTTGGAGGATCACCTAGTAACACACGCTACCTCTTTCTGGGTGACTATGTGGACAGAGGCTATTTCAGTATAGAGGTAAAAATTAAACTGGATACGTTGGAACGATCATACTGTCTTTTTTTAGAAATTTGCTTTCCATTCTTCAGTAGAAGAAATTAAAATGAGAACACTGGCAGAATTTGTAAACTTCATTACTTTCAGTATTAAAGTGTTAGAGAAATGTTTTCATTTGTATAAGAAAGATCTATTCCTTCTTGTAGCTTCTATATGTAGTAGACATATAGAAAACTATATTGACCCAGCTTTGCAAATAAGTTAAATGCTTACCAACCTTTTCTCTGAAGATAGTGTATAGGCTGTGTGTAAATGACATAAATTGCTATTCACCCTAAACAGGGTTTGAATTAGCAGATCTTCATTAAAGACCATAAGTTGCTGGGCTACAGTTTACTTTTAGATTAACTTCCAATGCTAAATAAGCAGGCACTTAGCTTATTATAGGAATAATTTTTTATATTATTGCACATAGTAAGCAGTTAACAAATGTTCATTAAAGGAAAAAAATGATTAAAGTTAATGAATTTAATGGAAACTCACAATTAAATATATTTTGAAAATTGAATGATGAGAAAAAATGATTATAATTAAAACAAAGTAGGGGCACCTGGGTGGCTCCATTGGTTAAGCATCCCAACTCTTGATTCTGGCTCAGGTCATGATCTCAGGGTTGTGAGGTCAAGCCCCATGTTGGGCTCCATACTGGGTATAGAGCCTGCTTGGGATTCTCTCTCTCCCTCTCCCTTTGCTCTTCCCCCTGCTCACTCTCTCTCAAATAAATAAATAAATAAAATCTTTAAAAAAGAATTAAAGTATAAGCTATTGTGTATAAAAAATAAAACTATTTTAGAACCTAATGCAAAGACTTGAGTACAGTGGAACCAAAGCACATTCATATTTAATGTCCATTGATTTAGCTACACGTGCTTAGCAAATAAAAGAGAAGTAACTTTTGAATAGTGCAGGTAATTAAATTTATAATGTGCCCAGAATAAGCATGAGATGAGAAATTGAGTCTGCATGATGTTCTTGTAGTCTTTAGTTCTGCTTCTCCCTCATAGTGTGATAGTCTCACTGTACTTAGTGTGTTTCTGGTGGTTAAAGGTTTATTGTTTGTGCAGCATCACTCCTAGATCCAAGTCAGCTATCTTACCTAGCGCTCATTCAAAGAAGCAGCAGTTGTCCTATACCTGCAGAAAAATATACAAGAGAAATAGACTGTCCTCTTTAGTTTAGATGGGTGGTCTAAATTTATGGATCAGAAAAGTTCAGTGTTACCTGCCAGTGCCTCAAATTAATTTAGTGTCATCTATGAGGACAAAAATTAGTGGTAGAAGCTAAGAAAATAATCATGTTTCCCGGCTGCTCAGTAAATTTCCAGGGTCTCTAAGTAGGTCCTGGGATGGGTGGAGATGATACCTGCAGACTGTATCATTGAAATGTTTCTCTATTCCACGTAACCTAAGTGTCCATCAATAGATGAATGGATAAAGAAGGTATGGTCTGTATACATATATACTGGATATAATAGAATATTAATCTGACATAAAAGAGAATGAAACGTGACCCTTTGCAATAACATGGATGGACCTAGAGGTTATTATGCTAAGTGAAATAAGACAAAGATAAATACTATATAATTTCACTTGTATGTGGAATACACAAAACAAAACAAATGAACAAACAAAACAGAAGTGGACTTATAAACACAGAGAACAACCCAGTGGTTGCCAGAGGGGGCGGGATGTAGGGAGTTGGGTAAAATAGGTAGAGGGGATTAAGAGGTACAGAATTCCAGTTGTAAGATAAATAAGTCACAGGGATGAAATGTACATCACAGAAAATATAGTCAATAGTACTGTAATAACTTTGTAGGGTGACAGGTAATTACATTTATCATGGTGAGCATTGCATATTGTATAGGATTGTTGAATCACTATGTTGTACACCAGAAACTAATATAATACTGTATGTCAAATATAGTTCAATAAATAAAATAAAAAGGGAAGCAAACATAGCCTAAAAAAGAAAAGCTTCCTAATTCCTGTTCACATCATATTTCAGTAGCCAGTCAAATGTATGGATGTTTGAAAGACACACTGAATATTTACTTCTTTGTGTATTTTTTAGCATGAAGACATTTTAGAGGATGAAGAAAATACAGAACTTACTGAATTTTTAATTTGTCATTATATTTAATGAAACAACTTCTTAAAAAGACAATATTGTGCCAAATCATCTTCGGATTGTTAACTCACACATTTACAGATAGTTTCAATGCATCAGTATATTCAATAAAGCACACGCTGAAATAATCCATAATGATTTTTGTACACATATACTATATTCAGAATATTTTCTGTTATGTCTTTTTTCCTCACTCATCAACAAATGTTTCCTGATTGCCAACTTTATGGTAGGCTCTGAGGATAAAATAATGAATAAGATTCATGCTTTCTATTTTTTGTTTGTTTTCTTTTTAACATTCATGCTTTCAGGGCATCTGGGTGGCTCAGTCAGTTAAGTGTCCGACTCTTGATTTCCGCTCAGGTCATGGTCTCAGGGTCATGAGATCGAGCCCTGAGTGGCTCCATGCTCTGTGGGGAGTATGTTTGGGATTCTGTCTTTCCCTCTGCCCCTCCATCCCCTGCACTCCCCTCCCATGCTCACATACTCTCTCCCTAAAATAAATAATGAATAAATCTTTAAAAAAAGATTTATGCTTTCTATAGGAGCTGACAGTCTATTAGAAAAGATGCACTTATGAACAGATCTTTCAGTATAGTACAAAAGTGTTGACTTAGTTTTCTGCAGTATTCTTCATATTGGGACCTAGCATAGTGCCTGACACATAGGAGACACTCAAAATCAGTATTTGTTGAATGAGTGGATGTTAATAAATCATAGTTTAATATTTGGCTTTATCTTCTTATTTGATGTTTCACTAACTTAAAGGGTTTTTCTGGAATAGCTTAAGAGATAAATGGATCAAAACTTTAAAGTGACAATGCTATTTTATACCAATTTTAAACTAAACATCAGGGTATATGTAGTGTTAGTTGGAAGTCACTTATCAACTACTAAGGTTATAAAGTTCTGTAGGTAACAGCTTAGTCCAACATGATACAAGTATATACTTGAGCAATTTTTTTATCAGTGTCCTTGATAAGCATGAGTATGATGTTTTTGTCAAATGGATGAAAATAGGTAATAGAGCCCTTATTACATTTTGTTGTTGTTGTAAATAGTTCATTTTTGTAGAAAAATTGGGAAATGTAGAATCTAAGAAAACAAAAACTCTATAAGTCAGATATAATCAGTGTTAACATCTTATATTTTCTTTTTTTTTTAAGATTTTTAATTTTTTTAAAGTAATCTCTACACCCAGTGTGGGGCTCGAACTCACAACCCTGAGACCAAGAGTTGCATGCTCCACTGACTGAGCCAGTCAGGCGCCCCAACAGCTTGTATTTTCTTGCAGTCTTTTTTTTCTTTTATATTTGCATATTTTTTTTTAAAGAAAATTGAAATCATTTTGTACATTTCCTTTTTGTAGTCTTTTTTTCCCCCCACTCAGCATTATTGAAAACACTTTTCTCTGTTACAAAAATTTCTTCAAAATTGTGGTTAATGGTAAAAATACCATAGTTTACTTCACCGTTCTCCTATTGTTGGATAATTAGGTTTGTAGCAGGTACTGCTTGTTGTCCATTTTTTCTCTCCTTCCTTTCTATAAAAATCCCTATTTTGTTCAGATAAATGAGATTGGGGTTTCAGAGAGAACCTTTGATTTCAGGAAGGGAGGCCCTTAACCCAGCCTCAGGGAATGAATTCTCATTGGTCTGAGCTTTTTTGATGTGAATTTGCATGCATACACATGCACTTTGGAACATTTTGTTTCCAGATGAAAAGGTGAAAGCTTTTGAGTCCCTATTTCACTACGTCATTTCAAATGTGGGTGTGTGTACTGTAGCAGCCATTTTGTGACCATGAGGAGGTGCTAAGGATGAAAAGCAAACCTGCTGTGAATTACAGATCAAAGAGGCAGAGAGGACATGGTTTCTTGGTGACAATACTGAGCTGGTCCACTAAACCTGGACATCTTACCTCCAGACTTCTTGTTTCTTCATAAGATACTTAAAATGTCTTTAGGGCTTAAGCAATAGTTAATTGGATATTTATCACTTGTACCACAAGTGGTCCTTTTCTAGTTATTTCCATTCTGCATATTGCTGCAGTGAATATCTTTTTGAATACATTTTTAATAGCATTTCTGATATTTCCTTAGGTCAGATTCTTATAAGTAAAAGAAGTGGATGAGAGACTGAATATTTTAAAGACTTTTGATACATTTTGCCTAGTTGTTTTTACAGAACCTTATTTCACTTTATTTTCTTTCTATACTTAAAAACTTCTCTTTCCTTGAGCCTATATGAGAAAATCAAGAGATGATGATTTTTTTCATGCCCAGAGCAAGCATTGATCTTTCCTGAAGCAATGTGGGCTTTGATTAGTACACCAGGGACTGATCCAGATGTCACTGATAAAACACAAGAGTAAAGTTTCACTTATTCCTGAGCTTTTTGATGTTCCTTCTTCATTTGTATATATTATAAACTACTTGCTCTGAGGTAGGGGAAGCTAAATTTTAGTTTCTTTTAATTGATTTTACAATAAGAGAAAGGGTTAAAGGGAACATTTTCAGCATAAGATATGTTATACTACATGTACAGACATCACCAAAGACAAAATGTTTTCAGATGTCTAGGTATTATAAATGTTATCCGATGATCAATTGTTGATGTGTTGACATGTTGACAACTAATGAATAATTGTTGTCATACAGTAAGGATTGTTGAAGTGGAGTACAAATTCTGTTCACAGAAATAAAGAAGTGAGTTTTGAATGTCTGAACAGATCTGATAATCATGAGCCTATAATTGAATTGTACAGGTAATTGTGCAATTGCATCCTGATATATAAGGAAATAAAACTTGAGATTAGAGGCCAAGAAGTAT